CCTTCAAGTCCCCATTTGAATCCTTAGGCTCCTTAAATTATTATTATAGTCTTGGCTTCTTTATTCTTGCCATTCTGATTGAGTGTCCTCAGCTTCCCCATCCTCTATATCAGTGGTTCGATCCTCTTCATCCACTCTGTTTTTTTTTTCCATCTAATATACTCTTCATCTCAGATGTGTTCTTCATTTCTGACTGGTTCCCTTTTATAATTTCCATTTCCATTTTTATGTTTGTTTTTTTATCTCTTTGTTGAAGTTCTCACATAATTTATTTACACTTCTCAAAAGTTTATTGAGCATGTTTATAACCAGTGTTTTTAACTCTGCATCTGTTAGATTACTTGACTCCATTATATCTGGATCTCTGTTCTGTTCTCTCATATGGTTTCTGCTTCTTTGTCTTCTCATTTTGGCTGCCTTTCCATATCTGTTTCTATGTACTAAGCAAAGCTCCTAAGTCTCCTGGTCTTATTAGTGTGGATTTGTGAAATAGGTGTCCAGTGGCACAGTCCTGAGGAGGGTTCAGCTGCAGACCAAATATAGCCCAAGTCTCTACCCTTCCGGAGCCACCTGTTAAGATTCAGCAAGCAATCTATGGATACTGTGTTTATAGTTGTCTTAAAAGGCCACACCAGAAACTGAGGCCAGCTGCCTCCAGGGTGAGTCTAGGCACTGCTCATCATGGAGCACCTGACTCGCTGAGGGTAAACCTGGATGTGGCTTGGGTGGGGCCCCGAGTTGGGGGAGGCGGAGTTTCAGAGAATCCTCTGGGCAGAATGAACTCTGTTATCCAGTCTGATGACCTCATGGCAATGGTGGCTCTGTTTCCAGCACTGGGAGAGGGCACGGCTCAACAGGGACTTCTGTACAGAGTGAGTCTTACCTCGGCCCTCACTCCAACAATGTCTCCCTATAAGTTCCTGGTGCCCGCTGTGTGCAGCCAAATCGGCAGTGGTGCTCAGAGCGAGCAGGTCCATCGCTGTGAAAACCTGTTCCCAGATGCAGCCTCTTTAATAGGCTTCTGTCTCTGCCGCTGCCACAGCCTCCATCTCACTCAGCTGCTGTAGACCAGGTCGCCCTACATCCTCACCCCGTCCTGCCTTCTGCCATTGCAAGGTGCTTTCTTGGATTTCTCCCTAGTGGTATGGCTTGCTCAAGATCCGAGGCGATTTTTCCTTGCTGCTGCTCCTTGTTTCCATCACAACTTTGATTTGGTCACCAGAGGGATGAACAGAGCCTCTATCATCTATGCCATTTTGGGTGCCCACCCTTAGAGCAATAATGTTTTAATAACACCATTCTCAGCTGTGATTTTTCATTTATATGCAATATTTATTTCCATTCAATGCCAAGTGAAGATTTTGGTCTAATTAGAGCATTACCAGCCATAACGATTTGCAGCTGGTGATGAACCTGTGGCTTTCAATGCATTAATGTCATGATATTTATCATTCTTATTGAAAAAGATTCAGAATTTATGTATAGTGAAATATGTCTTGGCCTTTTTTAGTATTTCTTGCATTTGTATCAGCATTTAAAACAAAAGAATGATTCAGTTCCATATCTCTTTAGGGAGTATTCAAAGAACTTAACTAATAAAAAATTTCTGAAAATAAATTACAATAATTATTCCTCTTCCTAACTACTTAATAAAAATGACCAGGCTCCCATCGAGTACAAATAATACGTTTAGGCTACTAATGTATTTTTCCTAATTTCTTTTAAGTAAAAACATAATAGATACTAAGAGATAGTCGCACATTAAATGGATGACATGGAGAGGATATAAAATCTATTAGAGATAAAAATCCTTGCAATTTCACTCTGTCTATTAATAGTCTTTTAAATGAAGTTCTTTATTTTCTACTGAGAGCTTTCTAGCTAAATAAGAAACAGATAAAATATAGGCTGGACTTATCCATATTTTTTAAAAAGACTCTTTAAGGTCTGGTTGCTATCTACATCTCCAGATTCCATTATTTCCCTCCTCATATTTCCTTCTCTACTAGCACTGTTTACTACTTTCCATTTTCTGTTCCCTTTCACTTTCTGAGGATTTGCAGGTGTGCATCCACCTGCTTGGGATGCCCTTCCTGGAACCATGATGTGACAATATTCCTATTTCTATAACATCATCCCTTCCTGGATGCCATCCCTGATCCCCGCTTCCCACCCTCTTCCATTTTGTATGTAACACTCTTCCTTTACATATTCCCAAGTATTACTTTATATAGTAAACATCTGTTTATTTATCTGACTTTACTATTGTACTTTAAGTTGGTTTTTGGAAAAGGCCATCTCTGCTTTGCTTTGTGACCCCAATGTCTAATATAGTACACAATTAATAACTACAGAGTAA